CATGTAAAGAAACGGAAAATAAAATGTGAGAGAAGGGGGAAAAAAGTCAATAGGAATTGACCTCAAGATAATCCAGATGCTGGAATTAGCAAACTAAGGACTTTAAAGAAACTACTTAAATATATTCGGGGACTAAAGGAAAATATGGTCATAATTAACAGACAGATGTAAAGTCTCAGTGGATATGTGAAAACTGTAAAAAAGAACCAAATGGAAATTCCAGAATTGAAATGCACAATAACCACAGTGGAAAAGTCACAGCATATTGGAGACAGCAAGAGTCAGCAAGCCTGAAGGTGGAATAGAAATTACCCCACATGAAGAACAGAAGAAAAATGAACGGAGCTGTGACCTGTGGGACAGTATCAAGAAGCCTAGTTGTAAAACCAGAGTCTCAGAAGAAGAGAAACTGCACTTTCACGTGGGTAAGTAAACAACCTCTCCCCGCAGGCTCCAGGGGTTCTCCAGCTTCCACTCCCTAGGACCGGTGAATGGTTGCAAAAATCAGGGGCAGAGTTGCTTTGGTTCAAGAATGAGTATCTGACAAGATAGGCTCAAAGTTTCTTGTACTTTGTCCACCAGGACTAGATAGGGTGACCTGCTGTTGGCTGGCTGATCTCAGGGTGTAGGGGTGCAGACACCTTTTCCTTGGTGCTGGCTCTGAGGGGGCACTTACCCACACTGGCAACAGGATGGGACGTGACAGCAGCCCTCCTTCCATACCCTGTGCAAGTGTTTTGCCCTCTACAGAGTCCTGTTTGAATGGAAAGGCTTCATTGTTGTTACTATTAGGTTAGAAGGAAAAGCTCTCTCTCTGGAAATTCCATAGGACTCGGTGCACAAAGCACTGAATCAGAGAGATCTGGGATGGCGACACTCTCGGGCTCCACGAAGTTACTTTCCCAGCCCCTAAAACAAGGGGGGAGGGGGTCATGACCTTAAGCCCCTCCCGGCATTGAGTCTTCTGTGATTCTCTCCACGGTGCACACCCTGCCTGAGGCCCTTTTGGAGACGGGG